AAGTCCAGATGACATGATTCAACCTTTTTTGTTGTTATATACCTGGATGACTGAGAAAACAAACTTTGTGTGGTTAATAATTGTTTTCTCGCTCAGCTACCAGACTGTGACTGAAGACAGTTACCAGATCATTCAATCTGCATTTAAACAATATATTTTTAATGTCCACATTTTTTGTGCCGTTCTAAATCCAGCTCTCAACAAAATAAGACTTATCTGGAAGAGTGTGTGTCAAACAACTGTCACTAGCACTACACTATAACAAATGAGCTACTTCCTTCTTGAATCAATGTTATCCTCATTAATCATTGATTAGAAAACTTTATTGTATGTAATGACATCAAAATCTCAAAAGAATTGAAATATTACCATTTGGTTATTCCAACCATGAAAGAAATCTGATATCAGTGTGAACTGTTGAGCTAAAGGTCAAGGAGAGCAGCAGTATAAGCTAATTTACAAAAAGACAGCTAAATATCCAGCGGAAAAAGGGGAGTTTAGTGTTCATCAATCATAATGAAAAATACCACTTCCTGGTCTTCAAAGCACAAGCTACTTACAATTTGAAAAACATTCACGTGTATGTGTAATAATCAGAGAGGACTGACACGGAGGGGAGTCATATTACTGCAAACACGTAGGCGTGACGCATCACGAGGCTTGCTTTCATACTTACGACAGAGAACCTGACGACGACCTGGCATGCCTCTTGCTCTTGAGGGCTCGTAGTTTATCCCCCTGTGTGAGGCCATTTCTCTCCTCGTCATCATGGTACTGTCAAACAGAAAAAAAGAAGAAACCACAAAGACAAAAATTTGTCCTTTTGATGTAATTTATTCTTAACCTTTATTTAACCAGGAAAATCCCATTGAGATCACAGATCTCTTTGTCAAGCGAGGCCTGGGCTGGCAGCCTAACATGCATGCTTTTGGACCTGGTTTGCATTAGTATTTTTCTATCAGCAACAATATACCGGTAGTCCATTCCCGATGGTATGTTGAGTGTGTCAAGTAAAACTCACCAGCTCTATTTCTTCTTTCTTGGATGCCTTGTTCTTGTTGTTCCCATTGATGGTTATGTCATCTACTCCAGACAGGATCCTGGTCACAGCCAACTTGCCATTCTCTTGTTCATTCAGCATCTTCTCCCGGAAAACGTCTCCATCCACCCAGAGACTGTTCTGCTTCCTGACGGAAACAAACAAGCAACAAAAAAAGAACCCCCACACAAACTCAAATGAATGGATGCCAAAACTTTAAGAGCAAAAATCGTGTTTTCTAAGCATAAATAGTAAAGAAAACTGAAACGAAGACATGAAAATCCTACTTAAGTAAACACCTACTCTTCAACAAAGTTCTGCTGGGGCCCTATAATGGACCCTGGTCGGCAGATCCGTATCCATGCAATGGCTTCTGCAGCAGTCAGGCGGTAATGTTTCATCATATAGCAGGCAATGAGCGTACCAGTTCTTCCCAGGCCAGCTTAAAATAAGAAGAATTGTTTTTCATCACAAACAAAACAACAATAAGCAGTTTTTCTAGCTTTGACGGTATTTTCGACTAAAAGTCCCACCCTTGCAGTGAACAGCAATAGCTCCCTCTGCATTCTCACAAATATTGATGAACTTTGTGACAATAGAGTCGTTCGGCGTGCTTCCATCCACAAAGAACAGGTCGTAATGTTCAAAACCAGATTCTGTAAAACGTCTGGCATCATACATCTTTTTGTTGAGTCTGATGATGGTGGTGACACCATGCTTTCTGAAGTATGGGATATAGGCCTCAGGAGCATGTAAAGGATAACCTTGAATAAATAAAAAAAAAACATTTTGTTTAGGAGCTGTGCAAATTCCATCATTTTTCCTCTGTTACTCATATCAAATTACCATTCTCTATTTTGCTTTTGGGATGTGGTCCACTGAATGCAAGAAACTTCCCTGGAATGATCCAGTTAAAGTCGCCGTTTTCTGCACGCTCATAGTGCTCGTACTCTTCCACATCAAACTTTGAGAAATTGAGCCAGCCGTAGCGCAGAGCCTGGAGGAGCGCCAACAAGAATAGAGTTTTATTAGAAGCATGGTGATAAGAAGACTGGGGGAAAATATCAGTTTTTAAATTGCATACTTTGTGAACTGCATGAAGGCAATCTAGGATGTCCAGATTGAACATGCAGGTTCCAAATGAAGCATCCCTGAAGAACATAAGTGCATAATGACAAACCAAATAATTGGAATGTTTAATTTCACTAAAACATTTCTCTGCAAAATGCAATTCCATCTCCAGCAGCAGCTTTCGTCTCTTTCTAACGACACATATTGCGCTGTGCTTTAAGACAATTCATTCAATTTACGTGTTCTTAGTGCACAATCCTTCCTCTTCCTCCCCATTTGTGCTTCACTGACACGGCAATGTTTACTACGTTTGATCATTTTAGAAGATATTTGAGGGGAACCAGAAAGAGTTGTGCTAATTGAGTCTTAATGACACTTTCCTAATTAAACATTCAGACCTGTCTATGAAAACACACACATGCCTTTTGTTCATAAAGTGACACAATTTCACTAGATATTAAAAATGATTTTCAGATTTATTTTTAATTAGGGTTTTGGGAATTAAAAAATACGCTTTGATGACAAGTTTGTGACAGACTAAACAGAAATAGAAAAGCAACTTATTTCCAAAGTACAAATGTACACCAGCAAGAAGTTTCTCACGTAGAGAAAAGAACATTTTCTATAGAATGACCCTTGTAGTTGGAAAATGCAAAAACTGTCAATCAACTGGTGCAAAATCAGCATATTCTCACAAGAGCAGCAGTGCTTTTATTTCCACTTTGTACTGTTGCGACGTCTTGTTACCTGAATGGAATATATGTGACATTCCTTGACACCAACAGACCGTAGGCTTCTTCTGGCATCATATTAAGATGCATAACCTTCAAAGACAAAGGTCTTTATCAGCAAGTTCTTTCTTGTATTTCATACTAGCTTTATGTTTGATACCAACTTTAATGTTTGCAGTCATATAATTCCTAAGGAATATATATAGAAAATATGCAAATTTGTAGACAACTTACTGCATATGAGCCTATTAGGTAAGCAGCATTAGCTTGTTTTTTCTGATCTCCACAGGTATAAAAAATGATCTTCTTCCGTGTGAGAGTAACGGACTGTGTAAAAACATGAAGAGAAAGTTTGATTACTTCAAAACATCAAGTATTAGGCAGAAAAGAGCAGAGTAGGTTTTGTTTTCTGTCCTTGTAGTGTGACACAACACAAAACTGGACGACATTAAAGAGAGGGGATTATAACGCCCTTAAAAAAAAAAAAAAAAAAAAGAAGCAATACACATAAATATACTCATCAAGGAAGTTGAAGGATCTAATGTTTTTATTTTTAAAAAAATTATAAAAATGTTAGGTTGTGGTGCTAATGCAACATTAAAAGACGAAAACAACATTTTATACAAATGTGCAATAAAGATTAATCATCTGGGTTTCAAACTTTGAAAGTCTTGGATATGCCCCAAAAACAGGAACAAAGCTGTCACTTAAAAAAAACAACCTAGCTACATTAGAAATATAAATGTAGCTGTAAAACAGCAAACTGGCATGCAAAAGTTATAAACCTGCTTTACTTTCATCACCTTCTGCACTTATAAATAGATATTGACCCGCGCCTTTCTTTCCATTCTCTCTTCCAGGAAGAGTAATTAATTGCTGCAGTTTACTTTACCTTGAGCTTCTTTGTCAGCTTGCAACAGAAGCGATAGAACATGGCCAAGTTAAGGGGACCAAAGTCTGCATAGAAGCTGAGAGCAAGAGAGAGAGAGAGAGAACGAAAGAAAAAAAAAAAAAAGACAGTCAGAGTTTCTATTTATGCAGCAAGCCATTGTCTCTGGGGAAGTTTCGCTGGTTAGAATTAACTACGTCAGGCTGACACGGTGAAAATACGAATGGGAGTAAAAACTATTACTGGAAGCGTGTGATGGTAGAGTGGGTCAAAACTAAAGGAGGAGAAAAAGGTGCAAAAAGGAGCAAATACAAGAGTAAACCCCTGGTCGGTCTTATTCTCTCTTGCCTCCAAGTGAACAAAAACACATTAAAACAACAAGCTCCAAAAGTGCACATTCAGCTAAAGGCATGCACTTTTCTTTGCTTTATATACATTGCATGCATATACATGAGCTTATTTGATGAATTTACGAGTTCTGCATCTAAAACAGAGATTATTCATCTGAATGTGAAGCCAGACATATCTGCACGACTGCGTCGAAATAGAAAGATGACACATAATAATAATAATAATAACACATTTACTGCACTTTGTTGAAGGCCCAATGGGACAAAGTGCAGAAAACACTGCATCACTCTGCAAACTCACTTCTCATATGCCAGCTCTTCATCTATGCAGAAACAGTGTCGGTCAGCTGTGCTCTTGATCTTCTGCTGAAGAATTGCAAAATAGAGTTGGTCTAAAAGAAAAGGGAAGGACACAAAATGAGTTGCTTTTGTCATAAATGTCTAGCTGTTCGTCACAAAACTCGCAGTTCTTTGCTTTTAACCTCATTTCTTTCCTGGTAACTCACCCTTTAAAAACTCCAGACATCTCGATGAAACATCGTCCAAAGTCATTTTGCTAACAGACCTGAACATAACCTTCTTCTTTTTTTGTTTTTCCTCCCACACGAAACGTACGAGCGGAGTGTTTCCTCACGAGGACTTGGGCATTGCTAAGTAAAACTTTATCCAAAACTTGCGTTTGTTATTTTAAAAATTAGTTAAAAAACCGTCTTTTACAAATGTTAAGTTTGAATATTTCTCTCATTTAAAGTTGTTTACTAGCGAGGAGAACAGTCACCAACCGAAGAGGGGAGTGTCGAGTGCAAGTGCGCACTCTGCTGAAATTGATCCCACGCGCGACTCCTCCTCCTAGGTGTCCCGCCGATTTCTATTGGCTGTTGCAGATAAAGGACGCTTCGTGATTGGAGGAAAGAATCTGCTCGTCTTGTGACGCCCCGCCTCTTCCAGTTTAAAGTTCTCCACAAGAACGACGTGATAGGCTCCGAGATGGGCGCTCAAGCGGTTGCTATGATGATCTGACAACCAATCAGATTTGCGAATTCCACTTAGACGAACCTCCCTCTTTAACACTGGATCTTAATGAATGTACTAGAACCAGAAAACGTCAAAAAGTTATGAAATTTAACACGAGAAGGGGCGGGGCTTGGGCTCAATTGTACAGTCACTGCACCCTACTGTCCATTTGTACACATATAACACGAGTTACAAATGAGGGGTGCGCACGAAGAGGGGTAAGAATGTGATTTGCAAGTAAATAAATGCTTTATGTAATTAATAAACAGTCACTTCAGCGTGCACATATTTGCTTAGGTGTATCTGCGCAAACCTGATGCAATGAAAGGGAGAGAGACGGTGTCGCCATATTGGGGCAAAGCTAAAGAAAATCGAGGGTTTTAGCTGCGCTTGGGACGATGCTGCGTCTCCGTGCATCTGCCGAGCGTCTTGAAAGTTGCCAGGGTTTGTCGTCCTCTTACCTGTAATCTCAATGTAAATATCAGAGTTAGGCTCCGCCTCTGAGCTGCTGGGAGCTGCACAGCGCTGCTTTTTCCTCGATTCCGCTCGTCTCCTCTCGCTTTTGCGCTTCATTTTCTCCTCAGAGCAGCACGACAGCCATTGTCGATCCGCTGTCTGCTGCAGACCTCCTCTGTTTTTGCTGCAGGGGTGCGCAGCTTGTCCGCGTTTCGGTGCTGTTAATTTAGCATGGCTGCTGCGCTCTCTCAGGGAGCCCTTTCTGGGAGTGCGTGTGCCAGTGTCTGTGATGGTGTGTTGGTGACGTCTCTGAGCAGGGGCAGGTTTCTGCTTTCAGATGTGCAAAACCCAAGGATTTCAAATGTTTACTGTCATGTGCATAATTCCCTGAGCAATGACATTTTCACTTTGCTTTGACATAAAGTATTTACAGAGAAGAGAAAAGCATCAACACCAACATGCGCAAAAATCAATTAAGACAAAAAGTTGCAAATGTGCAAACAGGCTCAATGGAGTGACAGGAACATTCATTTATTTAAGAGTCTAGTGGCACTTGGAAGGAGTTCTTGAATCTGGAGGCACTGCAGTTTACACTTCCCTCTGGTGAGGGTATACCCGGGCCCATGTTGTGGGGGGTTTCTTAAGGATGGAGGCAGATTCCCTGTGGACTCTGCAGTGGTAGATGCTCTGCAGAGAGGGGGGTCCTTGCAATCTTTTCAGCGGTCTTCATTCTCTGCAGGCATTTGCAGTCCAAGTGCTGCCAGACTGATGCAGCTGGTCAAGTTGCTGAAGATCCTAAGTGGCATGCCAAACTTCCTCAGCCTCCTTGAAGTAAAGCCACTGTTGTTCTTAACCAGCTGTGTGGTGTTCACGGTCCAGGTGACATCCTCTCTGGACGCCCAGGTATTCAAAGATGCTCGCCCTCTCTACCTCAAGCGCTCGGATGAACAGAGGTCTCTCCTTCTTTATGTCAACAGACAACTCCTTTGTTTTGTCGGTGTTGAGTGTGTCGTCTGTTCATTTGTTCACTTGCATTCAAAGTTCATGCTCAATAATCCAGATACAAAATCCAATAATCGTCAGTCAGGTCATCTGGACAGTAAATTTTTTTGTGGAAAGATGTTTCGCCCTCTATCCAGAGGGCTTCATCAATCTGAGGAGTCCCAAGTAAACTGCATTCCTTTAGTGGACCAACCAGTTTGCTGGTGATAAGATGGTTTCTGGAGGCTGTCCTGTCCTCCGTCGACTCCTTCCAGGCAGGCAGCCACAGCCAAAATGGTTCAAGACATCAAAGTTCATGCTCAATCATCTAGGTACAAAATCCAATAATGGTCAGTCAGGTCATCTGGACAGTTTTTTTTTTTTTTTTTTTTTGTGGAAAGATGTTTCGCTCTCTATCCAGAGGGCTTCATCAGTCAGAGGAGTCCCAAGTAAACTGTTTCTCACAAAGATTCCTCCGACTGATGAAGCCCTCCGGATAGAGGGCGAAACGTCTTTCCACAAAAAAGAAACTGTCCAGATGACCTGATTGACCACTATTGGATTCACTTGCATTACTTTTACAGCCTATAAGACACCATGAGTTGCTGACTTGTTGGAAACAACTGTGCATTGACTTGGATGGTGTGAGTGAAAAAAATGTGAGAGCAATCACAAAAACACGAGATTTTATTTTATCATTTTAATGAGCACTGCAAATGCAAAGGTTATCAAAATATAATCAGTGCAGCAGCTGTTTTCAAGAATTTAGAACTTAGTAATTACCCACAAACTATTTAAGGACACGCAGCTTCAACAATATTCAACATGTAAAAAACACAATCATTCTAACGGGGAAACTATGAAATGTAACAAAAACCCATTTGATCTCCAGGTAATCCCTCTGCTTTCAGACCCCACACAAGCTGATGAATTAAAGCTTTTAACATAAATCAGTGACAAGCAATGATAAATAACTCAACCTATACAGAGCTAATTTTGCCCTACAAATAAAATACTTATACTTTTAAGAATTTCCAACTGAAAACAAAACAACGGACTCAGAAATACTGGAAAACAATTTTTTTGGTGAAACAATGCTGCGCAAGTTTTTCTTGTTGGCATATGTGTGAACATTTGAGGACAAGATCAGGAAGCTATAGTATGCAAAATACTAAGACACCAACTAGTCACTTGTCAAATATGAATAGGAAAATCCACTGACCTTTTTAAAAATGTATTTTCAAACCTAAGAAAACTACTCAAAAATATCAGACTTTCGATGGGGTTTCCAAGAGGTCCTGACAAAGCATGGCTTGGTGAAGAGCTAAAGGACGCCTGTCTATTCAGATTGGTTCAGAGACATTTGAATTTGCACCTGTTGAAAATATCCTCTAACATTTAAAAATAAACCCAAAAGTTCAACTTTGGGTAATTTAATTTTATTTCCATGTAAGCTTTTCTGAAATTCTACCCAAATCACAATGAAGTTGATCAAAATTGTCTGCAAATTTGTTAATAAATTGAAAGCTCTGGCTCAACAGGTGAAAGGACATTATTTTACGAAACTGAAACACGGTCATGTAGTGTTTAGCTGCCATGGAGTCGGACAGTACATACACTGATCGACTCTATAAAGAACAACACTCTTCATTCTTCAGATGCTCCTCTGTATTGAATTCAAACTGAAGGATCATTAGTGCAAATGTACCTCATAACCATGTAAATAAAATAAAAATAAAGAAAAAACTGTCATGAACATTTTTGTTCAGCACACCTGACCTCAAACCTTGTACAAACTTTAGGAGCCCTTTCAAACAGAGAAACCCTGACATCACAGAGAAACCCTGACATCACAACCTTCTTTACTAATATAATTTTGGTCAAACTTGAGAAGTCCATGGAGCATTTGTGGGTACCAAATAATACAATGGGCCCCACTGTGAACACACTTCATGCGCTGAGCTAACGTTCTCGCAGGCTACACGTGGATGATCTTTGGTTTATCACTGAAGTCCAGAGTCTGTTGTACTCCAGCGAGCTGGAGGAGCCAAGGGATGGGCATGTGATCCAAGTGGTTCATATCAAAGTGACAAAAATGAACTTCAGAGCCTGCAGAGAAAAATAAAAAAGGAAGAAAAGATCAGATCGAGAGAGACATCCTGACTGGAGACAAAGAGGACAGCCTACCAGGTCCTGCGATGATGGCTCCACCTTGCTGACGCAAGTCGCCCTGAAAGTCAAAAGCGGAACTGGTCATTGCCCTCCAAATGCTCTTTATTTGGCCCGCCAACAAACCAGACTTCACATGGGGACTGGGGTGTGCTGGGTACACAAACACATAGATGCAAAATGCCAACATGTCTCAAAAACCATCGAACTCACTCTGAAGCAGATTTAAACCTTCAGCATGTTACCGGAGTCTGTGAACGTCTGCTCTCGCTTCATCCCAAGTTTTTGGTAAATGCACCTTTCTGGGTCCACATACATTTCATGAGGATACCCCGTCAGCAAGCAGAAAGGCTACATGAACAATAAGAGCATGTTTATTTAAAGCAAAACTGGGTTAAAATGACAGTTCATGCAAGTTGGCTATGCTCTAATGGCTAGAACTTTCAACTAAATAACTTTATATACCAAAACATGCAGGTAATTTGTACACAATCAAAACATATATATTAATATCTATCTATCTATATCAATATATAATCAAAATAAATCAATTAAATCATATGGTTTTCTTTCAATAACTGATAAAAACTACATGACACATGCACATAAAAATAAAAATATATGAATTTTGATTAAAAAAAGTCATGTTTTATTTCCACATTGCTGATAAAATACATGAAACAATAACATGCGTTATAATTATAATTTGTTAACCTCTATATGGCAGAAAGCAGACTGACCAATCACAACCAGTCGGATTCCAGCATCCTGCAAAAAAAACAGAAATGGGATTTTATTATCTCATGTTGCTGTTTATTCATTCATCTACTCAGTATAGACTCATGTTCAGGCTGCTGTTTAATATACCACATTATTTTACATTATTAGTGTTTAGCATGCAGATCGTATTGTTTAGTGTTTATTTAGCGTATATCTTAGATTCTTATATGGTTTCTTTTTATACTTTATATTTTTTGTACTTTTGGATGTGGACCTTGAGTGCATAAATTCGTTCCACCTCATGTACCACATATGATGTGAATGACAATAAAGATACTTGAACTTGAACTTAATCTGAATTTAAACTCATTTTTACAAGTGCTATTTTTGATACACAACTAATAATCTGATTAAACTTCACTTTGAAGCCATATAAATATTTGTCTCCTGGACATGTATGAACTTGTCAGGACTCACCTCCAGAACTTGTTTAGGTACTTTGCTCAAATCATCAACATACTCTTTACAGCTGTAGCACAAGAAGTTCTGCAGGAACAAACAACACGAGGCAGACGCGAGACATCAAATCACATGAGAATAATCAGTGCCTTCACATACATTATAAAAGACAACTGGTAAAGTTGTCTAAGGAAGCAGACTGCTTCAAATCTTCACTTCGTCACAGTCTCCCATGCATAGGTGACAGTGGAAAGAAATGTCTCCCTTGTAACAGGAAAGCTTTAGCAAAACCAGGCTCAGGATGGAGCATGTTGACTGGCTGGGGTTAGAGAGGACAGGAAGGAGACACAAACACAGAATGACGGGTCCAGCTGTAGTTCACACATGTTAATGACAGAAATAAATGCAAATACAAACATGGAGAATAAAATTAGTAAAGACAACAGTGATGTGGTCAGTTTACCCCCCAGCAGCTTTAGACTATAGCAGCTTAACTAAGGGGTGACTCTGAAAACCCAAGCCAACTGTAACTATAGGATTAATAAAAAAGGAAAAATTTAAACCTGGTCTTGAAAGTGGTTCCACACAGTGGTGTAGTCTATATTTTTGCAGTGGTTATTTATACCGTGGTAAAGTTAGTTAATGTTGGACACCGCTGAAGCCACGGAACGCAAATGTACAATGTCCAACGTAAAACTAACATGGTTGGTCCGTATACTGCGCTTAAAGAAAGTGGTTACTGATTAGTACAGTGTAATCGTTAATTTATTTTTAAGCATATTGAACATTTCCTAATTTATCTGATGCTTACTTTCAGGGCTTAATGTGTAAACTAATTGATACCAGAATGCAAATGGCAGGGTGGACTGGTGGTGGTGGTGGGGGGGGGGGGGGGGGTGTCTGGAGGTCCTTCCCCAGAAAATTTTGAATAAAGTAGATGTGATTTCCTGCATTTTGGTGTATTTCAATGGGTTGTTAATCATCTACGTTTACCTACATTTATAAACACCCCGCTTCTGTCAAGCATCCTCCCCCCCTCCCCCCACACACACTTGACCGTTCCGAGCCCGACACTGTCTCTGCTCGTTGTTGTTCGACTCCAAATGTGAAACCTCCAGGCACCCCCTCCGTCTGTTTGCAGCAGCCTCTGAGCTCCGGTCCGCGTATTATTATTATTATTATTTTTCATTTATCCTTTATTTATCCACGTAGTCTCATTGAGCCATGAGAACTCATTTTCAAGAGAGACCTGTTTAGGGAGCAGATGGTGGGGGGTTAAGGGCCTTGCTCATGGGCCCAGGGTGGGGCGAATGAGGGTGGAGGCAGGTGTGGGTGTTTCACCTTTTCCACCCACATTTTGATGTTGACGGTACCGGGAGTTGAACCTGCGACTTTCCAATCACAGGCCCATCTTCTAACCTCTGCGCCACCACTCCCCCAATGTATGACTGCATGGTTAGTTCGGCACGCACCCCCACCACTTTTCTAGAGGCGAAGATTTTTCCAAGACACGCGGAAATGCTTACTTGAAGAGGCTGCTCCTAAGTGGCTGTTGTGTTTAAAATGAGTGTTTATGTAATTATTTTCAGTTTACATATCCAATATAGGTTATATTTGTTCAAGGCAGTCATATTTGTTCATAACTTTATTATTAGTAAGCCTGAGAGTTACTGGATCCAATCAAACAGTTATGGGAACACACCCTGTCATAATAATTAAGAGAGCTCCCGGATCCTGTTCCGGCAGGATCCAGCTCAAATTAAGCACTGCTTATATTTGAATAAATTAACCTTTGTACAACAGTTGGCTTTGTAGAAAACAGTATTAAAGCAAAACATGTTCAAGTATTGAGTACAAACGTATTAATTATTCAATAATTCGCTGGATAAGCGAATGTAATAAACAAGCGCTGCATACAGACAGATTGTTACGGAAGCGTTTAATTGCCATTTAACGTACTGACAAGTGCCTAATGATATGTCATGTATCATTGGGCACTTTTAAGTGGGTATACTAAAATTCTTAAGCTTTTCTAGTGGGTATACTCTGTATACCCACATATCAAGTAGACTACACCGCTGGTTCAACAAGAGAAAGATCTGCCTCCCATTCTATTTTTAGAAACTCTAGGAACCACAAGTAAACCTGCAGTCTGAGAGCAAAGTGCTCTCATAAAGCAATAAATCAGTAACAGAAGATGGTTGTTGAGAACTTTGTATATTAGAAGTACGATTTTAAAGTCTATTCTGAATTGAGCTAAAACTGGAGAAACATGATCTCTCCAGTTCTTCTTCCATTTGTTTATTTGAAAGTCCTAAAGGGCTGAAGCTCTCCTGACGCGCACCAAAAACAACTTTTCTTACTTCATCCCCTCCATGAAGCTTTTAAAAAGTTTCCCTAAAGCTAAAAACTCAGCAGCACCACCGGAGATTCTTATCTCCTTTACCCGCACGAAAATGATGACGGATTTTCTGTCTTGGTATAAACTCTTGAAAGGAAAAGCGTGTCCGCGCCGATCGTAAATCAAACAGTCCTCCACTTCTTTCAGATCGACCTCCACAGTTCGGGCTCTGGTGTCGCATCTTCCCCTGCGTACTTGTCGAGTAATCGGTGAAAGAACTTCAGCCATTTTCCACGGAGCTTCCCAACACAGAGCAGCACTATTTGTGGAGCTGCAGCTGGTTCACGCCCACAGGGCCGGTGCGCGTGAGCGCGCGCATGCGATCATTAAAGGTAAGCAAAACAAGTGCAGACATTGAAAAGCTTTTTTTGCCTATTTGTTTAAATAGGAGGACACATTTGGATATTTATTTTTTAGATCTTTGTGTTTGCATACTTTATGGGAGCAATCAAGTCAACAGAATTCCCACTAAACCCAGTCTGTCCCTTTAAATTAAATACATTTTTACTGTTTCACATCATCATATCAACATTTCGCCTGTTTTATTTGAGTAGGTTAATCACTTTATGTTATGCACCTTACTCTCCATCATGCAAATTAGTTGCATTTTGCATCATTTGGAAGTTTTGTTTGCATCTTTTTAATGAGTACTTTGTTTTGGTGCCAATGTGCCCTTTTAAATAAAATAATTTTTAGATTTATCATTGTAAGGCTTGAGTTTTTATTGCATGTTTTCAAGGATAACTTGCATGATACTGTGATCGTTTTGCCCCTTTAAAGTAATTGTTTGTCTTTTTCATGGAAACAAAGTTGGCGTCTCTTAGTGAAGTTTCCTCTGCCTTTCTCTATTATTTCATTATTTTTGGAGATTAGTATTTAATTAAGTTGCAAATATAAGTTTTCGTTTTCTTTTAATTTATTTAAGTTCTTTTTCAAGTTATTATTCAATGTTTGCCTCACTGCATTTTTGTTTTTGTTGGCCATATATCTATGTCAGAGGGTGTGTTGGTAGTTGAAGCTGTTTTGGTAGGAGGGGATTTAGAGGGATGTAAAGCCCTCTACATGCATGGTAATTACTATATAAAGTTTGTTAAATTGATCAACATTAGCTTTATTTTTTCTGGTATGAGACAACTACTTTGCTGACATTGGGCTGCCTGTGCTCAGCTGCAGTCAGCCACATTTATTGTCAAATTGAATTGAATTCAGTTTATTTATTTTTCACATAATTTCCATAAAGCAGTGCTCCAGCCCCATGAAGTTTAATTACTTTTGCATTCATATTATAAACTAACATGTCTTGACATTTCTGGTAAACTCACAATGACGCAAAAACCAAGACTAGTTATATATTTGGGCTTTTATCTTTCTTTTCGAGCTAGACGTTCAGCTCCCATGACGAACCACGAAGCGCCCTCGTCGGCTTCCGTCGTTCTGCCCTCTGGCTGCGGAAGTGTTGTCCTGAAGCCCAGCAGTGTTTGGATAAACACCACGGCGGCTCATTCGCAGCTTTTCTCGCCCGTGTCTCTTCCGTGGGGACTTGTCAGCGCTGGTTTGGACCGTGTATCACAGCAATATTATGCGAGCATCGTCCGGAGTGTGGCCGCAGCGTGTGAAGTGGTGAGAGCTGTAGCTAGCTTTAGCCTTTAGCATGTGATGATGGAGCACAGGCTGGCCTGTCAAAGCTCTTACTGTGTCCTTTCTTCCTCCGAATGAGGGAGAAACCGAAGAAATATTGGACACGAACTTGTAGCGAGTTCATGTAACACCGGGCCTTGCTGTTCGGGTTGGGTTTGTGTGTTTGTGTGAAGCCAACAAATGACCACCTGTTCACTGTTTACAATCATTGTTATTATTCGGCAGAGAGCAGACAGGGCTCAGCTGCACAAGGACTAAACTGCAACAGAAATCATTTCTAACTTAGGGGATTCTAGCGTTTGACAAGCGATTCATTTGATTCCCAGGCTTGAAGACCAGAGGGCTGATGTTTCTGTGTCTGCATTTTATTACTGTAACAGGAGAATACACATCATTTCTGATTATTTTCATTTTTTTTATGAATGACAGTTTGCTTGCACACAGCTAGAATTTTGCTCTAAGCAATGTGTCTTTTATGCTGTTACATGTCTTTAGAGTTTACAGTATACAGTTCTGTTCAATAGTTCAGAGCCATCTTCATTTATTATATTTTGCTTCCAAGCAGCTAAACTTATTTGTAATCTGTTAAAGTGGTCTTCATCAATATTTCTAGGGCTTTAATGCTTTTTTTTTTTTTTTTTTGACTTTGGCTGCTTTTTCACTGGCTCTTTTAACAGATTTTTTTTTCCCCCCCCCAAAAAAGTCACAAACATCTGTAAATCTTTTCAGCCTAAAACAACTCCTAAATTCAAAGGATGAACAAGTGTTTCACATCAAATAACTTAACAAAGGACCAGTTTTTAATTGGATTTTTATGTGGCTTCTTACAAGGACATGATTTGTTCTCATTTCTTTAGTTGAATCTATGAAAAATACCAAAGATAATAAAGTTCGATTATTTTTTTTAGGCCCCAATAAATGGATTACTAAAGATCTATAATCTGAAAACTTGTCATGCAGTCAGAGATCAACTGTATCTCTCAAGCCTTGTTTTTTTTTTTTTTTACCAGAACTTTTCCAGTTTCCTCATGACCCGACTTTCAGATACGGTTTATCTGCTGTAAATAGACGGTCCACTTTCCTTTTTCTTTTAGCAAACATAGTGTTTATGCTGTCCCAATCAGGTGCAAGGACTGGGCAGAAAATGAGTTAAAAAAAAAAGCAGCTGAAGTCAAAAGTTTTTTTTTTTTTAAAGACTTTAGAAAACCTGGACAGTGACTCAAAACACTTTTTTACAGATTTTACTTGCCCCCCTCTCTTTACTCAAACATGCATCCATAATATGGTTGCTTAATAAAATGCATTTAGAAAATTGAAACAAATGGATATAATCTAAATCAAAGTTTTATTTCATATAGTTATGCAGTACCATGTACAGTAAATCTATAACATTGATATTTTTAGAGCTGGATATTGTGCCATTTACATTTCCAGTTAATTTATTGACACATAAACACATTTTTAGCCGTGTCTGGTCATTTTTGTAATGAATGTATCCCTGATGTTCTAGAGTTTCTTTGAATCATCTATATGGGCCATCTTCTTTCAAAAAATGGTTTACGCCTGAAGAAGAGGACACGCAAGCCGCATCACAAGAAGAAGAAGAGGAGGAACTGTTTCCTGCAGGGGCCTTGCATGCTCTGCTTCATCATCCACAGCAACAGCAGTGGTGTCGACGACGACGGTGATCAGCTAGAGGCCGGTGTTAACGGGTGCCGTCACAACAGCATCGCTGGAATCGGCGTCCCTGGCGTTGGCGGAGTCGGCATCGGAGCAGCAGCTGCCTCGAAGATCGCTGAGCGATACGCAGCGCTTGCATCTCCTGAGGACTGCTCCAAGTTCCTGTTGTCTCAGAGAGAACTTGCTATCTGGGAGGGCCAAGGGAGGAGTCTTTTGTCAGCTGTCCCTGCCAAACTGATTCCACCACCGGTGCTTTTTAGAACAGCTGGAGTATCTGTGACTGCGCCCATACCTGTGACTGTGCCCGGCTGCACCGGCGACTACACCGAGATGGTAGGCATCAACACTAACAAGCTGGTGATAATTCAGTACGCAGCTGTAGTGATGGTCAAACAACTTCCATCAGAGCGGACAGCAAGGTCCATTTTGAGTTATTCAGTCTTAAGCTTAAAGGGATGAGTCTGTGAAGTGTGATTCTGTGGCGTTGCTTGATGTCTTGCAGTAGTCAGTATCTTACCTGCTGTAAACACCAGTTTGAATGATCTTAATTTGGAGAATAAAGGTAAAATTGAATCTATTCAGACTAGGGTGACATCAAAAATGGACTTGAGCCATCATAAAACAACTACATTTTCAAAGATTGACTGTAATTCACATAATTTCTGAACAATGAAATGGAGCATTTAAAATATTTTTAAGCTGCATAAAAATCTTAAATGAATATATATATTTATTTAAAGCAACTCTGGGCACAATGGCAGCCTCAAATCATACCCCAGTATATAAAAGCTTGGACTGACAGTGAGTGGAAAAGTAGGCTCTATAAAACTACATTAAATTATTACAAGAAAGTCTGTTTTGTTGGCGGTAATGTATAAAGATATGAGGGATAATTCAAGACTTTTGAACAGTTTCTTTTAAGTAATGGAATTACTGCTCACTAAGGTGTTTTAAAGCTGAATGTGACCCATATACAACATTAACAATAACACACCGGTAATTCTAAAGCATTGCAGTCAGTTTTATTTTATTTGTGTTCATGATTAAAATTCAGGAAAGCTCTCTTTAATGCCTTCACACATCAGACTAATGTGTTTAATGTCCCCTTTGTCCAGGCAAAACCCCCCCCCAAAAAACAAGCACTTAGACACCACATGAAAACAACTGCCATCCAAGATTTACCAACTGCAATTACACAAGAAGACATTCCTCTCCTGCACAAAGGGAAATTGTTGTCTAGGTGTTTTATTCAGTTGTAAAAATTAATAGTTTGGCTCAATTTTATTTTAATTTGTTCATCATCTAGTTTAGTTTTCATCTGATAAATTGTCATATCGAGGCGTTTTTTTTAAATTTTTTATAAATTCACACTTTAAAGCACAAATAAACTGCAGTTCAGTGAAATTTACATCTCTTAGTTAGTTATGCCTTCAGTAAGCAGTTAGGTGTCATGCATTGGAAAAAAAAAAGAAAGAAGTAATTTTATTGTCAGTTAACGCTCATTCATTGCACTGAACAATCAGTTGGTGATCTTCCATTGACAGACCCATCTCTGTTGCATTTATTAAACTGGGAGCCAGCAGGCAGTCATGAATTCTCAGCCTTTTCTTTTTGTGGCTGATTCTTGTAACGAAGATCTTTAGAGTTAAAACTGTCTGAAGAACACGTGGTTTATTTGTGCGTGTACCTCTGGGTGCAGGTTTGCAAGAGGAAGTGCACAGAGGTGCAGAGGTGCACCCCCTGTAAGCAGCCGCGCTGCGCCTTTGCTGCTTCTAACGAAGGGCTGGAGCACGGTGGAGTGGGAGCAGGAGGCGACGGAGGAGAGGCTGCTTCGAACTCTGACACAGGCCACTGCCACCATCCCATCTGCCCCATTCCCTCCTCCTCCTCTGCTTCCTCTTCCTCCTCACCAGCTGATGGCTGCTGTGGGCTGGCTCTTCGTCCTGATTCACCAAACAGTTCCGACCCGACACCCTGCTGCCTAAATCCTTACGACGACTGCCAAGCAAAAAGTTCTGATCCTGCTGATCACCTAAGTATCAACCACCTGCCTTCCTCCATCCTTCTTAAGGTCAGATATTTTGTGCTGTAACAAATGGACGTAAATGATTAGTAAACGTTTTACAAAATGTGAGTCCCATGGCTTCCCTTGTCTCTCAGGTCCTGTCCCACTTGACGGTGAAGGAGCGCTGTCTTTGTGCCTCTCTGGTTTGTAAGTACTGGAGGGACCTCTGCTTGGACTTCCAGTTCTGGAAGCAAATCGACCTTAGTGGCCTACAACAAGTAAGGATCTGGTTTCTCAGACAACATGCTTATTAATCTTAAAGAAGTTGTCTAGCACACAGTTTGCAAGCATAAATGTGCTGCTTAAACAAAAAAGAACCCCAAGAATTTCTTTACCTTGTTGCTGATTTTCTTTTCTTTTCTTTGTGGCGTTTGTTTCTCAGGTCAGTGATGATCTCCTTGTGAATATAGCTTCTCGAAGGCAGAATGTGACTGAGATTAATATCTCGGACTGCAGGGGAGTCCACGACCACGGTGTGACCTCCCTGGCCTCCCACTGTCCAGGACTGCAGAAGTATACAGCCTATCGGTGCAAGCAGCTGGGGGACATTTCAGTGGTGGCCTTGGCAACACACTGCCCTCTGCTGGTCAAGGTGCATGTTGGGAACCAGGACAAACTCACAGATGCAGCTTTGAAGAAGGTATGCTTTAAAAACGATCCCAACCTCATGTTTTACGTTTGGTTGTCTTTATTTGTTACGTGTTTCGATCTGCAAGCAAAACTTCAAGAACCATCAAAACAAAATGAAACATCAAGAGGTTCTGAGTATTTTTAACATGTTGAATAATTTCCTAGTTTTCTTTCATCTTCAGCTGGGAGCAAACTGCAGCGAGCTGAGGGATATCCACTTGGGTCAGTGCTACGGCATCACCGATGAGGGCATGGTGGCCTTGGCTAGAGGTTGTTCTAAACTGCAGCGACTCTACTTGCAAGAGAACAAAATGGTCAGTTTGACACAAATTTCCTCTCTTGTGTCTCTGTTCAGTTCAGTGCTTCAGCTGATTGTTACTCCTGGTCTTTATTTTATCACGTGTAAACCCTATTCACAGAGCTCCATTCATTCATGCGCTGATTAATTTTCAATCACATTACTTTCTGTTGGTTTTTGTGATATGGAGGATGAAAAAAACAATTTGGGGATAAATGTAACCCATATTATTTTCAGTGAGCAAACCAATATTAAAGAGTTTTTTTTTTAGACAACAGCTATACAACTACACAAGATTTTTGTCTTTACATTTGCTTGGACAGCCACAAACAAAAACTGTTGACATTGTTTCATTATAGTTCGTTTTTTTTACTTGAGCGCCAGCCGAGCTGTCAGGTTCATGAACGAAGTGGAGGAGGACGTGCAGAGAGTTGGTGTGACAGAGGAGGATGTAGGGTGAGATGAAGTCAAGTGACTCACTGTGTGGAAACCTAAAGAGAACCATGGAAAGGAGGCGGAGACAAATAATGCTGTGATGTGGTGATTAATGGGTCTGTTCTGAGGATACCTTTTTATTAAACCAGACTACAGCGTGTTCAAATGTTTAATTTTCTTTATTGTTATTTGATTATATTCATTAAATAAAGCAAGGGAAAAGTAAATTAACATGTGATAAACCACCACTAGATGTCACCTTTGTCTCTAAACAGCTGGCCAGCTGTTGTAACATTGTAGGAGGCTTCAGCGTGTTTAAATGCTCAGCTGTGTATCTTTTGATCAGAAACAACCTTGTAACTATTGCGTTATGACGCAGACAGAAACTATAAGAAAACCATATTTTACTTTCCCATTATAATTTTAATTGTCCGTGTCGAACCCTCATTATCTCAATCCTCTTTGTTTCACTAATGGATACTTTTTTCTCCCCCCCGCCTAATATTTCTTTAGAGTTCTCGAGTAATTGTGACCTTGATGAATTGGTCCACTGTAAATTGTTAGGAAAAAGCTCAGTTTTTTAAAACCCCATTCATCAGCTAAATGGTAAATGAAATTAGCGATTAGGGCTAGGTGAGAGATTAATACGGCTGCTGATAACGTTTTAGCAGAGCCGCATCGATTTCAGATGGTGATATTTCAGATGTGCGATGGTTGCAGTTATTTAGCTTCCTATCATTAGGGCAGAGAAAAATGGGGCAAGCTTATATGGGAATCATGTCTGGAAAGTGGCAATCTAGTAGCCTGGCCAACAGTTGACTTTATCTTGTCAGGAGTTAAGATGACAGAGAAGCCTCTTATTCCCTTTAACATCTTGGTCGACAGTTTAAGGTCCTCCTGCTCTTACTGCTGATTTTATTGCTTTATGGGAAGTGGCTGTAATTACAACCTCCAAATGAATGTGGTACTTTGAAAGCTAAAATTATGCATGAACATTTAGATTTTGACGTCGAATGATATGGATAATGACTGAATCACATACTTCATGAATGAATGTCTTGCTCTTGGAGAACCTCGTTTCTTTCTCACTAAATCAGACGGTCATGTAGCAACATAAGAAAGACTTCTCAATGGTTTATGCACGGATATAAATGTTTGAACTCTTGTGGGATGTTTGTTTAAATTCAGTTCTTGGTTTCTACAAAAGCTAAATTAGTAAACCGCATTAAGGTGGACTTTTGGATTTTAGTGTGCTATAAATAGAAACGCCCTGGGACATGAATGAAACCTTATGATCTTTTCTTTTCTTGCACATTCTTTTGTCTGTCTGCCTTAATCAATCACAGATAAAAATGAGTCTTCTAGTCACTTTGATCTTCACATTTTCCACTCCTCATCATCCAAAAAAGAAAAATTGAATCACTTTATGATTTTTTTGCGTGGTCTTTCACTCACAATCTTGTTTTTTTTTTGTCATGCGGACGGACACCCATATTTGTTGTTTTTCTTTCCTTCCCGCTTTCCTGTTGTGTTTGTTTCTTTCCTGCGCTAGAGGATTTGTTTTTGTGTGTGTTTAGACTGTATCATACAACAAAGTATTAGGGCCATGCTAAGATAAAAAAAATTTACACTACGAGAAAAAAGTCATAAAGTTACAAGAATGAAGTTGTAATATTATGAGAATAAACTCGTACAAGAATAAACTCGTAATATTATGAGAATAAACTCGTAATATGTTCCTGGGTCAGCTCGCACCTGCTGTGGACAGCTTCCAATGCGAGTCACTGTGTTTATGAAATAGTTCGTGATCACTTTTGGGCCACTGTTTGTCAAATATTCCTCCACATTATGTGACGACTAAATCCGTCACTGCACCATTAATTGCAATGGCATACGGCGTCAGTTTCTTGTAAGAATCCAAATGCCACAGTGCGTTGGGTCCCATGCTATTGTACTGTTGGCATAAACATTCATCATTTTCCCGCAGTTGTAAGACTGCTTTTTCATGTTGCAGTTCTGATAATATTACGACTTTATTCTGGTACTGTGGTCCCTCGTTTATCGCGGGAGATCTGTACCCTGAAGCGCTGCGATAAGTGGAAAAACTGCAAAGTAGTAGTACAAGTAGTAAGTAGTAGTTTATTTTAGTGTGTGTATATCTGTCTGTCTGTCTGTCTGTCTGTCTGTCTGTCTGTCTGTCTGTCTGTCTGTCTGTCTGTCTGTCTGTCTGTCTGTCTGTCTGTCTGTCTGTCTGTCTGTCTGTCTGTCTGTCTGTCTGTCTGTCTGTCTGTCTGTCTGTCTGTCTGTCA